CCCCAACCCCCATGTACAGCTCACAGCCCATGCACACCCACTGCACACCCCCAACACACACACCTCGGCCCCATACACACCCCACAGCCCCATGCACACCCACTGCACACCCCCAACACACACACACACTCCAGCCCCACGCACACCCCACGGCCCCATGCACACCCCAGAGCCCCAGCACGGGGGTCGGCCCCCTGCACCCCCGGCCCCACTCAGCGCCGGCACACGAGGGCTGCAGCCCCAGCCTCCCCCAACCCCCGGCTCCGAGGAGGAGGAGGAGGAAGAAGAGGGGGAAGAGGATGAAGAAAGGGCCACTGCTATGCAGCTCTTGCCCAGTGGCCTTTCCTGCTCCAAGGGCATCACAGGAACTGGAAAACCCCCCGCTTCCTCCTAAACCCTGACAGCTGGCATTGGCATCCGCCAGATTTTCTTCCCCTCAGCTCAGCCTGACGCCATAACTGGTGCAAAAACAGTTATTGCAGCCGGAGCAAACAGAGACCGGCCACTGCCACATGCCCTCGGCCCCCTGTGCTGGCTTTGGGGACATGGTGCGCCTGTTGGGCAAGTTTGTTCTCATTTTTATGTTTTTTTTTTTTTGTTTACGTAATTGCTCTTGCTGGTTCTCGCCCAGTGTCGTAAAGAACATTTCCTTCTGCTGTGTAAACGTACTCGGTGTTTCCTGAATCCTGGGGAAAAAAAACACAGTTCAAGAGCCATCCACTCCTCTGTCCCCCCTGGCTCAGGCCGTGCGTGACTGGAGGCATGGGGCTGTAACATGGTTGCCTTTTTTTTTTTCCCCTTTTTTTTTTTTTTTTTAAAAAAAAGCATAGCACGCTAGAAGAGAGATGAAGAAGATGTAAAAAATTATATATATTTTTATATATATGATTCATATCTATTTACAATGCGGCTGGGACAGACAGCAGAACATCTGAGGGGGTTTATACAGACACCGTCAGCACCCAACCGGGTCACGTGGGGGGTCCAGGGACCGTTGCGGTTGGGAAGCAGGGAGGCCTCGATCCCCCCAAACCCCCAGCTCCTCTTCCACTCCACGGAAAGAAAACCCCCCCACCGGAGCCAGTGCCTCGCTCTGGGGTTTCAAAGCGAATGCTGCCTGTAACAGGGGCGCAGCGACCGAGCCAGGGCTCAGCTCACCTGCTCCGCGTCACCCGAAGGCAACCGCAATGTTCGAACACACCTGCAGCAAATACCCTGCCAGGAAGCGGTGCCGCGTTTCCCGGTTAGAAATAGCAGCAGGGAAGCACCAACAGGTCCTCGCCTGAGTCACGAGGCTGAGCTGAGAACGCACGTAACGAAAGCTGGGCCCTCGCAGCATCGCTCTGCCTCCCCTCCTCAGTTTTTCTAACAGCATCCCCTAAAAATATCTCCCCTCCCTTCCCTATATGCACTTTAAAAGCTGGACCTAAAGCGTCCAGGTTTAGAGTCGCTAGTAGTACGGTGCCCTGTGTGCTGAGCCCTCCCCCAGCCGTTAAACGCCTCACGCTAACGCTGTATTGCATCCCTGCGAACCCCCCCTTCGCCTGCTGCCCGCGTGCCAGGGAGAGGCTGCTTTGCCCACGCCGCGGGGAGGGTGGGTGGTACGTGCATGTTGCGCCAGTCCGTGGGCTGCAGTGCCGCCCGTTTTGTTTTCATGCCTGAAACAAAGCAAAGGCGAGAGAAAAAAGGAGAGAAAAAAAGAAAAAGAAAGAAACCCAAGCCCTGGATGCGTTACGCTGTTAACACAGGTTCGCTTTAATGCTCCTCTTTGCTCCCCTTCCCTACGTTCTCCAGCTCCGGTGCTTTTCTCCTCTCCAGGGTGGATTTTTCCCTCCTCTCTCCCTCCGGAGCAGCTCTAAACAGCTCGCAGCCATCTCGCCCACCTGAGATTTGCAGTTTTCTTCCCAAGAGCCAAAGGACAGCCTGGGCATCCCACAGAGGCGGCTTGTGGCTGGGGAGATGGGGCTGCAACTGCCTGCTCGGCCAGCGGGACTCACTTCGCTGCCTTTCACTACCCGCGTGCGGGCCCGGCAGCCCGGGGAAGAGACAAGGCTCGGAGAGGAGCCCCCTCTCTCCCCTGCTGACGTAGGCAGCCTTGTCCACTGCACCAGGCTCGGGGAGGGCGAACCTGCCTCGCAACCCCATGGGGCTGAGGCTCTTGTTCTCACAAGCCTCCGCAGAGCAGCTCCTGGCGCTCCGCTCCATCGCAGCCCGTGCGGCTGCGACAGAGCTGAGTGACCGCCCAAGCGGCCAGCACCGCATCGCAAGACCACGAGGACTCTGAGCAGCTCCTGCAGCCACGAGGACCCCGGGGGACACATCCCAGGCAGCTCGAGCCAGCAGTGTGGCCAAATTACTTTTTACACATCAGCTAATTTCTTAATTCCAAAGCTCTCTACCCCACACATCTATCTAGACTTCCAGACCACGTATCACACCTTTTACCCTGGCAAATCCCTCCTTTGCAGACACCCAGCACCTGAAGAGTGTTACACAACACAGCCCTGCACTCCTACACTGGTGCCAAGCAAAGAGCAAGCAACTCCCCTGAGCATTTCCCTACTTCTCCCAGGGCTACTCTGCTTTCCCTGCAAGGAGACAGCACTTCAGCGGGTAGATGGTTTCAAACAGCACAAAAATTAAGGCAGTAAACTCGCTTGCTAAAGAAAAGGCCCCATCAAATTTGCCAAGAGTCTGCCTACATATCCTGGGCTATGGACACTCGCTTTCTGTTTGGTTTTGGTGTGTGTTTGCTGTAAATATTTCAAATAACTATGTGGATTCTGGTGATCCCAGCCCTATGGTACAGTGAAGTTCAATCCATTTAACAAAAAAAAGAAAGAAAACGGGGGGGAGGGGGGAACGAAAACTCCTCCGAGTGCAGGTTACCCTGCCAGCTTGCTGGTTACAAGTGAGGATTTTCTCTGGGGGAGATCCTGAGGAGTGGGGATGTGGTCTCCTGTCACCAGGTTCTTGTCTGGCCCCGCACTTGGCAGCTGCTTGTTTTTCATCTTCGCCTTGGCCATGTTGTAGTCCCCAGAATCGAAGTATTTTTGCTGAAAGAGGGAAATGTGTTCAGGTTACTTTGACATGATTTGCAGGAAACCCACAGCCGAGAGGCCTGAGGGAGGACAGAGCAGAGGTGCACACACCTGGCTACAAAACACGATCCTCTAAGGAGCCACCAGGATGGATACACAAAACTGGGTCACTGAAATGATGTGCAAGGGAGACTGGCCTGGTTTAAAAGACCTTTAGTACCCACACGCAAGCCCTGAAGTGACTCAGACCTGCCTCAGCTGAAGAAGGTTTGTCCCTGGCAGCTGGGTGTTCCAGGGTATGTTTTGCTCCCTCTTCACCTCTCACTTGCTCTTGGCTTGGGTGTTTGCAGCCCGTGAAATTGTGCTGCTCAACACAGCGCTCGCTGGGTGAAGGCCAGGTTTGTTTTGCTCTACCCTGTGCTTAGCATAACAGGGATTTAATCCCGGTCTAGAGACCCCTGGACCACAAGCACAAAGCAGACGCCGCCACGTCAGCAGAAGCCTCCAGACGGAGGCTCAGCTACAGTAGCAAAACCTAGGCCGTTTGCTGATACGGTTTATTCTGCTTTGGTGAACACATGAGCCACTGCGACAAAGGCAGGATTTCTCTCCCCATGCAGCACAGCCCTACTCGTGCCAAAGCCTCTGCTGGCACCCTTTGGATCCCAGGCCAACTCCTACCAGCCGAAACTCTGCAGGGAAATGCCTGCAGAGACCTGCTCATGGGCACCTCCCTGCTCACAAGCATCATCCACCCGTGGTTCGAAGGGCATTTCATTCACTTATTACACATATATCACTCTGGGACATGGTTCACCTTTATGGTACCTTCTTCACCCCCTGACAGTGTAAAGAAGGCTGAATGCAAGTGGAGTTTGTGCCTGTGCTGGAGATAAGGCTTTGCTGTGCACCAGAGGCACCAAATGGTCCAATTCTGCTCTTACACACGGTGCAGGGAGAGCAAGGCCCTAACAACCCCACTCCAGACCAAAAGCCCTTTCCTTGATTCAGCGCCAAGAAATCAAGTAACCCTCATTTTTGTGCTTGCTTTGGGAGCCAGTACCTAAAACAATATTCCCAGCGCTCATGTCAACAGCGAGAGATAACGCACACAGAGGCTGCTCTGGCGGAAAGGCCGGTTATAAATAAAAGCTATAAAAGGAAGCCAGCAGGATCAATCCAAAGCCAGCGCAGCTAAGGAGAGACACCGTGTGTTCAGTGCAGGGGAACACACACAAGTGGTTTCCAGCATTTCTCGGAAGGGACTTCTGTTTTCTGTACCAGTGCACCTGGCAGGGGCCTTTGAAAGGAGAGCAGCCAACAGCGAGAACCAAAGCAGGCTCTTTACAGAGAGAGATTTAATTACTTTTCCAGGGAGTACAGTCAAGAAGGCTGGCTTAGCAATGCTTTGAACCCCGGGGTTGTCTTTTATACCGGAGCCAAAGAGATGCAGATGCAACTGTCCAACTCACTGGTGTTTTCCATGCTCTTTGCACCAGCCCAGGGACTGGGCAAAATTCAGAGCAATGGAAAAAGCTCAGGCCCACGGCATCCGAGCGGTCCACGGAGCCACAGCAGATGCAGAGAAGGGGATGTCTCAGTGTCACCTGAACTAGTTTCACTTCTAGCTATCAGAGTTTGAGCCCAACTGGTCAGAGCATGGAGACTAGGGAACCACTGGGGCAGTTTTACAGAGTAAAATCACCCAAAGTGGCAGCAGCTTTTGTTTCTGGGCAGGTCCAAGCCCTCCCTGCTTGACCAAAGCAGCACTCATGGCTTTGGGCTCAGGCCTGCTGGGTACCACTCTGCAAGATGGAGAGGCACAAAAACAAACCCAATCCCTCGCTGGCTCAGAGGAGGTGCTTGCAGGTTTCTAACCTGCAGCTCCAACAGGCATTTTGGCCTGGGTAATTTTGGAGCGATTCCTCTGGGCCGGCTGGAGCTCAGCATCTCCGTGCCATCGAGGGAGGAGAGGATGCGGCCAAGACGCCAAGAAAAGGCTGGGAAATAAATACCCCTTTCTGCAGTCTCTTCATGAGGAAGTCTGACCCGCCAGGCTTCTGGCCTAGGTTAGGGTATTTGGCCTTCAGCTTCGCTTCTTCTGCTCTCTCGGGGATGACTGTTTCTTTCTCTTGCGTGTCCTGAAAAACAAGAGGTGCTTGAAAGCCCTTCAGCCTCACAGGAAAAACAAAACACACCTGTGATCCTGTAACATGATATTTAGCAGCAAGTCCAAACCCTGGCGCCTTGCTTGCCAAGTGAGGTGTGGTCCCCTGGAAAATCCAGCCATGCTTGGAGGAGATCATAAACACTTTCCCACCAAAAACAGCTTTTCCCTCCGGCACATGTGTGAACACGCAGAGACCCTCTCTCTCCATCCTCCCCAGCGAGCTGGGCCTGGCGATGAGCCCCTGCCAGCTGGAGAAGGGCCCAGCATGCCAACATTGGCTTTGCAAACTCGGCTTAAAACGGCCACGGTGAATCTCTGCTGGAAGAGTTTCTCCTTCTGACAAGCGACATGTTAGAGCAGCAGCGCCTACAAAAATCAATCCAGAGCAACCCCAGATGGCGACGGATTATGGCAGCGCGACATGGTTTTAAGCCACACTGCACCCAATTTCCATCCAGCTGGTGTTGCGCGTGGTTGTAAAGAGGCAGAGATGGAAAAAAAGCCTCCTATTCCACAGCAGTTTATTAGGAGCAGCTATTGGCGCAGGCAGCAAAGCAGCATTTCAGTGCCCGTTTCTCAGCCAGGGGAATTTCAGGATGTTAAGAGAATGCAGCTCGAACCCGAGGAGCCACGGAAGACGAGTGAGAAGGGTCCTACACCTTCCCTCCAACCTGCCTGCTGGAGCAGCAGCAGCAGAGATTTCAGCCCCTTGTCATCCTCCAAACTAGTTTTTGAGGCTCCCTCTCCCAGCCTGGCTACAGATATTAAATATTAGCCGAGTAGCAATGCCCAAAGGGGGCTCCCAAGTCCAGACAATCTGTCCCCAAAACTGCCAGCCTCGCTGGGCAGCGACTCAGCCAGGAAGATGTCACTGCTGGCCCCCTCTGCTAGCAGGCTGCCTGGCAAGGAGCTGCTACGCACCAGCAAGAAACTATTTTGAGAGATGTAAGCAAGGGGGATTCCCCCCGCCCCTCGCTGTTCCCTTTCAAGCCAGGACAATGCTGGCTCACTTGGCACCGGCGGGGGCTGCTCCTCGGCCGCGCAGCTGGACCGGAAACCGCCGGCTGTGCTCTGGGTGACCGCTCGCGTGTTTTTCCCCCGGCACAGAGATGCCAAAAGCTCCAGATCAAACTTGCTCCCAACCCATCTGAGATGACACACTGCATGCAATAAACTAGGTAAAATGCTGTGATTGCAAGCCTTATCTTTGGAACAGGAAAGCCTTCAGCGTCAGCTGGGACCAGAAAGCCTGTAAGATGTGACTAAGAGGGCTGGTCATCACATGCAGTGGAGGCGAGGGGATGGGTGCCTCAGGCTGCCCCAAAAACCAGCCACCAAAGCATGGCCTGGTCTGCATTAAGGGAAGGAGCTTGCGCCCGTTTGGCTGCCAGGACTTTGCTTTCTAGGTGGCCAAGAGCCGAGCGGGAGCCAGTGAGCCCCAAGGACAGAGCCCACTGGTCTGCAAGTCTCCCTTGGGTTATCCCCAGGGTCTTGGAGAGATTTGTAACTCGCACCCATGGGATTTTAAGACTGTCATAAGCTCGTCCCCATCCTGCCCTACAGCCCTTGTCTAAGCACAAGGCCTCTCCCAGCCGCTGCAGACACGGAGCCTGTGTCCAGGCACTTCTCCCTGGCACGCACAGACCTCAAAGCCACGGGGCAGCCACAGCTCCGGCATCTCAGCAGAATCTCTCTAGAAAAAGAATCCCAGCAATGTCGTTTCCCAAATGCAGTCTGTTTTCGTTCCTCAGGGCTCTGTTTGCTAGCTGGGCTCTGGGGTCAAGAGTTTCTGGCCAGAAATAGAACAGCACAGGCTGTCCTGAGCAAGCTGGCTGCCCCTTAACCCTGAGATATCAGCTGCTACAGGACCCCTGCTCCAACCGAACCAGGCTCTGACACTCTCCGAGCCTTTCCAGGGGTTTAGGGCTGCTTAGGGTTTGCAGCGAGACCGCTTTTCTCTCTGCCCGAGAGGCAGAAAGGCTGTTCGCCCTGTGCCTGTGAGTCCTCTCGTTCCTCTGGCCAGCGTGGGCCAGACCTCCTGGGCCGTGTCACAGATGCCGTCTTGCCTGTGGGCAGCTGAGCCAGCGTAGCACCACGAGAAGTTGCCTTGCTCCTCGCCGACCCGAGCGACGCTTGATACATCTGTCTAACCCTGAGCAGCAGATCATTCGAGGAAGCTGGGTGATTTTCCGATGTTTCCCCTCCTTATTCCAGCCTGCCTCACAGAGCAGTCTATGCCTTTCTGTTGGCAGCAGCCTTGTTGACAGGGCGACAGGACCTGGTTCAGCTCCATTTTGGTTCTTCTACGCTACAAGTAGCCCCAGATAAGTCATTCCTAGAGATTCGGCCTTTTTGGCTCCAATCTCTGGTTTCCCTGGGGTCTCCCTCTGCTCAGAGGGGGGAAAAAACCCCACAGGACTCAGGCTGAGGTCACAGGGACAGCGCAGAAGCAACGCGCGTCTGAACAAGGGTGTGAAATGGCATTAGCAACAGCAGGTCCGAGGCAGCCCTGCCCACGCCGTAAAGCTATGGGGAGCTACTCCCACGAGGTGGCTCAGGGATCATCACCCAGGTGCGGTCCTTGGGAGGTGGCAGGCTGGTTTCACACAGTAGGAAACGCGGCAGGGCAGAGTCCAGGCGAGGGCGACGGGAGATGGGCAGGAAT